TGGTCCGTAGTCACTTTCAGTTTAGCTTCGTTTGCCTCGAGGACCACTGTCCCTCGGGCAGCGTGCTGTTCTGGAGGTGAAGCAACCACCAAGACGGTGGACCCATCGGCTGCCAGGATCTGAGTGTCTTTCAGCCTGAGGCAGTTCGGCGTTTCCTTTCTTCAATCGGGTCACCAGATCACACTATAGTGACTAAGTTGGATTCAAAAGGTGCGTGTCATCATTGTGGGGTGGGCCTACCAAGGGGTTGCAAGTCCAAGGCCTTCTTAGATGCGGGTTCCAGAGAGTGTTGAGCCTACAACAGGCAAAGTGCTTGCAAATGCTGGGGGCTGGGGTGTCGAGAAGACTGCAGTATCAACGGTTCAAAGCATTCGAGCTTAGGCGCAACTGCAGAGCGCTCAGGAAGGAGCCCGTAGGCGTCTTGAACATGGTGTCAAGCGTAAAGCAGTGGGGACCACTTGTGTCCACAGAAAAGCCGGAGCTTGCACTGAGCAGCATGCTGGTCTCTTCGTCGATTTTGACCCAAGACGCCTCTGAGCAGACGTCGCTGAACTCGGTCTTTGCACAACTGGACACATGCAACAGTTGGTGCAGCATCAACTCAGCCAAGTCTTTCTTCATCTTCAAGTTGTCATTGGACGTCAAGGGATCATATTTCATGCTCATGAAATCCTTCTTTATGTTCAGCAGCTCTCTCTGCAACTCCAGCTTCTCCGACTCTGTCTTCATGCTTGATGCTTCGTTCTTCTTTCTAAACTCCTGCAGCTCACCCTTCATGTTCAGCAACTCTGACTCCAAGGACTTGAGATGCACCTCGACCTGCACTCTTTGAGTCGCCTCAACGTGGGCTACTTGGCACTTGATGTTCTCATTTTCCACCTTGACCTCCTGCAGCTCCTCATTTGTCTTCATCTTCTCAATCTGCAACTCCATCAGCACATCCTTCATCATCAAAAGTTCACTCTCCAGCTTCTCACGCAGCTCCTTCCAGGCCGAAGACTCATGTTTCATCTCCTTCATGTTCTCCTCCATCTCCTTCACCTGGCATGTCAACTTGTCATTCTCCGACTTCACCTGCTGCAACTCCTCATTCATCTTTAGCTGTTCATTCTGCAACTGACGGGACTCATCTTTCACCCTCAGGAGCTCATTCTGCAGCTTCTCATGCAGCTCCCTCGCGGCTGAATATTCGTGCTCCATCTTCTTCAGTTTGTCATCCATCTCCGTCACTTTCTCTGAATTCAGCCTCTCCAACTCCTTCTTCATCTGCAACTTGTCGTGTTGCAATTCCTTCACTTCCTCCTTCAAGCTTAACGTCACATCCTTCAACCCATTCGTGTCTTGTCTCATTCCCTCTTGATCTACTGTGAGCTCCCTTGTGGTCAGAATGCATTGGGCTTTGTCTCTTAGAAGCCTCAAATCCTCCATGGCCATGTCGTAGTCCACAGGATCCGGAGGACCCTCACCACGACTCTGCCGGAGGGACCAAATGGGTCCACAGAAGTGGCCACACCACTCGATCTGGTTTGGATTCTTCACTCGATCCCAATCTGCGATGGCCTTCTGCATCAAGTCCAGCAATCGCTGCAACTGCGCTGTCTCTAGGTCACAGAGCTTGGAGTTGCCTCCTGTGATGCGAGCCCAAAGCTCCCGGAGCAACAGGCCAAGGACTTCCGTGGCCTCCGGAATTCCCGTTTGCCTCAAGGACGCCAGGGCGGTCAACCGCTGCGGAAGAAGCTCTCTTTTCAATATCTCAAAGAAGGCTTTCCACTCAGGGAGAAGACCAAGACCGAACTTGGAATGCAAATTCAGCACGTCGTCCGCCTTTTCCAGGTCCGCTCTCAGCACCGCCTCGGAGAGCCGGATGATGGCGCCGATCCACGGCTCCACGGCTTCGCCTCTTCGGGGCCGCTCCAACGCGGGCAACGACCAACGCCCTTCCGCACCCATCCGGAGCCCGTACCGGTCGAACAGTTCATCCCGTTGTCGACAAAATCGTTGCAGTTCGGCCTCGGAGACGGATTTTCCACAAAAAAAGGGAGGGCGGCAGAAAAGGTGGGTGGCACCTGGGCGGAGACAGTTGCAAAAGCAAAACTGTTTTGACATCGATTTATACGGAACTTCCTTAAACATCCTTGAACGAATAAAATGGAATGTTCGGTATGTCACACCCCATTTGGGCAAATTAAAGCCACCCGATGATCTGTTCCATTCCTCACAACCCACTTAATGCCTCAAACTGTTCACCTTCCAACATGGCCACTTTGACATCGATCTATACGGAACTTCCATGTTTAAATGAACAAACATGGGATGCATGTCGCACCCCAATCCTGGGCAAACCGATCTGGAAAATCCACAAGGCGTCAAACCGTTGCCAAACCTAGCAATAAGCCAAGTGACCTTACTCGGCTGCAAACCAATCGGACTTTGACGAGGCGGTGCCATGAGAAGATCTTGCACCGTGGTAGAGGAACTCTATGGCGGCACGCACCAGGCGGAAGATGCTCTTTTGAACCAAACAGGAAGGATCCGTCGAACAGTGTGGACAATGGGAGGACTGTGGTTTGAAGGTTCGTGCAGTGTCCCTGTGACCCACGACAAAGCTTTTCAATGTTGCATCAGAGTCGTTCTTGAAAACAACTTGCTCTGGCGTTTTCTCAGTCGACGCATTCTCATCATTCCAGAAAAGCACAAAGTATTGCAAGCGCGAAAGCCGTCTTGGTCAGCCTGCTTGGCAGCCATCGAGCCACATGAAACGCCTCGGCTCGGCGGAGCTTGGGCCCGTGGACCAATCGATGACCAAAACGGGAAAGTTGGAGACGAAAAACCGTGAAGAGGTCGGTGTGCACACCAAAAGGCCGCAGGAAATGGTCTGGGCTTATGCCATGAGTCTTTAAATGTTGCATTGTGATATATCGCTTCGGGATGCTTCGGGGTAGCGCACCTTTGGAACATGTTCACAGCAAAGCTTGAGCAAAGCCTGAAATCTATATAGACTATGTGTTACTGTTGAAGCAAATTTCCCAAATCACATATCGATACATAATGATACAATGATACATATTGGTTCAAGCTGTGGTTGCTAAATGTGTGAGCTGGATCAACTTGCTCTCCGAACTTTTTGCGAAAAGTCGAAAAAAGGTCGACCCTTTGTTTCGACCGCGAAAAGTCGAAAAGTGCACGAAGAAAAGGGAACGATGGTAAAAAGAGTCACCCGCCAAAAGGTCCCGGGGCTTGCCGGGTTTTTTGAAGGTCATTGGGGCTGCGTGTTTTGACCTCCATCGGGGCTGAAGTATCGCTTCGGGATGCTTCGGAGTATCTTTGATTGTAATATACAATCAAACTGCAAACTTCATCAATTTTCCAAAAACACATATCGTTTCAACAGGGTCCTATCGTTCTAACAAGTGGCTGGCAAACTACTCAAACTGCGTTCCTAGGAGCCAGCTTCACCACCATGAACGTTAGCCGAATATGCGGCTGTTTAAGTAACATATATCATATCTGTTGATCTTGGAATGATCTAAAAGCGACACAAAAAGAAGTGGGTCTCCGCAGGTCGGTGAAAGATCTGTGACAAAACAAACGGACTCATTCAAAAAAGGAGCCACACCATGCCACACCCGAGAACTCATCGACCGAAAAACGACGAAATGTGCAACATGAGCGCCCCGGCCCAGCCAGCTCGGTCAGCGCGCCTCAGCTCAGCCGTGCTCAGCTGCGTCATGAAAGGACACAACACGTGAAGATCGTCATCCAAACCCATCCACCTGGACCTGCGTGACGAGTCCGATGTATATTATCCCTGTCCTAAGTCAAAAAACAGCGTCATCCACCTACGTTCTGGGATGTTCTGGGGTAGTTCGATACATCATCTACCTTTGCGTTCTAGGGTAATTCGACATCGGGCCATAGGCTGAGCTTTCATGTGTCTCCCCAACACAACTGGATTGACCAGAACTTCGGTGGTTGGGTAAAAGACTTGTAAGTTAAGTATCAGGTCTAGAGCTTTCCTATAGGGCTTCCTTGGTTAGCATTCTGAAGCACTCTGTTAGGTTTCTCGTGGCCTCCCTAACCTTCCAAACCTCAGCAGGCAGTACTACACAGAAGCTTACTATGTACATCTTTCATTCAATGACAAAGCGATCAAAATCAGATCAGCCTCTCAAACCTCCTTCAAGTCCACTCAAACTGCCTATGCATAGATGGTTTTCTTTCGGAAATTGACATGAATTAACCTTCTTGAGCTTGAAGCTCTTCTAGTCTTTTACAACATACAACAACCAACCAAAAGTCACAAAAGCATTGACTTTCCGTGGATGTTTCACAATTCTTGGCCCAATAGATACGTCCAAAACTCTCACCATCCCGGCCATCTCCGGGGGTTGATTCATTGATGGTTCGCAGCCAAGGTCGGAAGATTCGCCCTGGCTCAGCAAAGCTTGCGAGTTCTCAAGGCTCCTGGCTGCATCTGCCAATCCTTCTCCAAGTTCCTTGAGAAGCCTCGGTGCTGGGCGCTGGGGGCGGCTCGTTTTGCTCAAAACGAGTCAGTCGACTACTGAAACACAGTACGGCACCATTAATAAAGGCTCCTTGCATGGTCTGAAGACGTCCACAGGTTGTGCCTTCCAAGACTCCACATGGCCCATCCGGACCTCCCTGCTGATCCTTAGGTTCACACTACCATGTGCTGGGATCGAAGCTCCTCTTACTTATCCCACTCAGGTCGACGACATGAAATGCCTCACCTTATCCCACTCCGCGTCCCGCGTCCCGGCGTCGCCCGCCGTGCTGCGACGCGAAGTCCAAGGAACCGGTCGCAGCATGAGGCGCTTCCACGTGGCACCTCACGTCGTACGGGGGCTGAGCGGCTGAGTCTCGCCCTTGGTTACTTAGTAGGTGTTCACATCATGGCACAAGGTGGTTCCACACGCCTACGCACCCTTCTACAGAATTCCTCAGCCCTTCTGAAGCCCCCCCAAAACGCCCAAGGTGGTTCCACCTCAAGAAAAACTTCCCAAAACAGGTGTTCAAACATGTTCAAACAGGAAATGCTACGGTTGGTAGCATGAGAAGACTTCCAAAGATTCCAAAGTACCACGTGAAACGCTTGACCTGCCCAGTTCCAACGAAAAAGGCCTCTTCACTACTTCCGTGCCTTGAGTCAAAATGCAAAAAGCAAGCCGCAACCATCCCTGAAATCTTGGATGTCGCATGAAAGAAAAAACTCTCAATGGCTGTGAACGACCGAAAGCGGAATGAAACTGATCCGTTCCACTTCCTCCACTTCCTGGTACCAAGCAGCACTGCTCCACCTTGATGAGTTTCAGTCAGTGCCTCCAACGACGAATCGTTAAACTGCTGAGTCGACTATTCACTAGTCGTCTTAAACACGCAACACCCCCATCCCATTGATGGCATAGATTTAAGTACCCGAACCAAGACCTGCCAGACCTGCAAGGGCGTTTCCGGATTGAAAATTTCAAAAAAGTTTCAAATGGTTCAAAATTCACTCGTCACCGGTCAACTCCTTGTGCTCTGCTTTCTTTATCTGTGGGTTCTCAACGCATTTATACTCTGACAAGCGCACACCAGATCTTTGCGAAGAGGAACACCTGTTTGACCAAGTGCTTCAGGTCTGAGTGCGCAATTAACGGTTCATGGTCCAAAAAAAAGGAATCAACCGTTGGACATCGAACCGGTCGAGAGCGTGTGTCTTCTCTTCGATTCTTTCGGTGTGCGAATGAAAACAAAGTAGACCCGGTCAGTTCCAACACGACACCCTCAGGTTCAACCATACAGCTTGGAAATTGTCATCATATCCTTCTTCAACCTCTATTAACATCCTCTTAAAGAACAACAAAGGAAACTCGCAAGCCCAAAGTAAGCTGCCTTGGAGTGAAGCCCCTCCTGTCCAAAGGGTTTTGGGGTGCTAGCTGCCAGTAATACAACGGTCGAAATCGCCCAGTCAGGTTTTGCATGGTCGCTCCCAAACTTTGAATGACTAAATAATCTACATTGGGACATTCATGGTCCATGAATGATTTTGCAGAAAAA